TAAATTTCAAAATAAATAATAGGAAATAGTTATAAATTTTAGACAAATTGAATTAAAAAATAACATTATTAGTTATTTATGATAAAGTTATAAGTTATATTTATTTATAAATTATTGTTTAGTTATTATTCTTAATTTTAAATAAGTAGAATTCATTTATAGAATTATAATTATTGTATAAGAAAGTTATAAATTATTAATTTTGGATATTTAAAAAATTTTATCAAAAATATTAATTTTACATATTTAAAAATTTTTAACTTTTTTGATAGACATTTTCCGTCGAAAATATTAATTTGAAATATTTAAAAAATTTCAGTTTTTCCAGTGAACATTTTCCATCAAATATTTTTGTCAAAAATGTTAATTTTAAATATTTAAAAAATTTCATATTTTTAAGGGCATTTTTCATTGAAAATTGCTATCAAAAATTTTAAATTTAAATATTTAAAGAAATTTTATCTTTTTGATGGGTTTTTTGACAAAAATTTCTATTAAAAATATTAATTTTAAATATTTTAAAACATTTTATCTTTTTTATGAATATTTTTGTTGAAAATTTTCATTGGAAATATTAATTTGAAATATTTAAAAGATTTTGCTTTTCCAACAGACATTTTTCATTGGAAAATTTTGTTTGAAATATTAATCTTAAATATTTAAAAATTTCATCTTTTTCAACAAACATTGCTGTCAAAAATATTAATTTTAGATATTTGAAAAAAAATTTAACTTTTTGACAGATTTTTAAAGAAAATTTTTATTAGAAATATTCATTTTAAATACTTAAAAAAATTTAGCTTCTCCAACGGACATTTTCCATTGAAAACTTCTAGTGGAAATATTAATTTTAAATATTTAAAAAAATTAACTTTTTCAGCGGACATTTTCCGTAAGAAATTTTCATTGGAAATATTAATTTTAAATTTTTGAAAAATGTCATCTTTTCTAACAGGCATTGTCCATCGGAAAGTTTTCCAAAATGATTTTAAAATAAGTTTTTGATAGATATTTGTTTGTCGTAAATTTTTTAACATTAAAAAAAATTGATATTCATTTTTCAACATATTGCTTTGTCTGAAACATTTTTTCCAATAGATTTCCTTCTTGTTCGAATGGTTATTTGTTGGAAATTTTTTTGATGGATTATCTGATGAAAAACTATCAAAAATCTATCAATTTTTACATTATCAGTAGTTTTTCATTAAAAAATTGGATAATTTCTTGTAGTGTACATTCTCGTTATGTATTAAAATTTTAAAATTAAATTCAAAAATCAAAACTAAATAAAATAAATAAAATGATAATTTTTTAGATCAATTCTCAACTTTCTCTTCTGCCATAAACATGGTAAATGACACTTATTGACATAAATTTTTTAATTGATACTAATGTAAATATAAAATATTTACACAAATTTTTATACTATTGATTTAGCCAAAATTCAATTGGTAAAATTAATTACAATTATTTTTCAAATGTTAATTATAATGTCTTTCAAAAATAGTAATTATAAGTGTCTTTTAAAATATATATTATAGTTGTAAATAATATCATTTATTGAATTTGAATAAATTAACGGTGAAAATTTTGGTATAAATATTTTATACTTATGTTATTATATATATATATATATATATATAGAGAGAGAGAGAGAGAGAGAGAGAGAGAAGGGATTAATTGATACTGGTGTAAAGATAAAACACTTATACCAAATCTTATATAGTGCATTTGATCCAATTTAATGAATGAGATTAATTACGACTGTCTTCTATTATATTAATTTACAGTTATCTTTTTTTTTTCAAAATATTAATTAATTTCATTTATTGATTTTGACAAAATCAATGTGGAATATTTGGTTTAAGTATTTTTAGATTTACATCGGTGTTAATTGATCATTTCTTTCATATATATATATAAATAATATTTTTATATTTATACTTATAAGGAACTTTCGGTTTGGGTGTAAAGATATAATAGGATAGTGCAACCTATGATAAAGTTATCGTACAAAAATAGTAATTTGGCTTTCATCTATTATTCGATTTAATTTTACCTATGTAAAAATAAAATACTAATAAAGAATTAAATTACATTTTTATCCATGCTACGGTTATGTAGTTCCTCTTTGTACCAAAGCTAGATATCCTCATCGGGATCTAGAAGGGTATATTTAGGTCATATTGTCTTCCATCTTGAAGGGTCTTTAGGTACTGTGAGCTAGGCAACACCGATATGACATTATCAAACTAGACAAGTAGATGGGTAAATCAAACTAGATGATTTCGATAGATAGGCAAATCAAGCAAGATAATTTCGACAGGACAGATAAGCAGATCGAGCAAGATGATTTTGGCAAATAGGTAGATTGAACTATATGAACCATATCAGACCAAACTAACAAATGAACCAAATTTTTCTGACAATGCAAATTGAGTCAACCAAATCTTCAAGATTGTTGATGAGCAAATGAGCAATGAACAATTGATGGTCTTCAAGGTTGCCAAAAATTGACAAATGGCAATGGTCGACAACAAAGAATAAGATGACGACAAAAACAAATGGTGACCGTCCATGATGAAAAAGAAGAATGCTCCAATGGAAGAAGAAGGAAAGAAGGAAGGAAAATGTTGATTCTATCCATATATTTTTAAAGTTATTCTAGTTGATGAAATTTATTAGGGTAATCAGTCAAGATAAGTTTACTCTAGTTTGACTAATAAACTTGGATACGAGGAGTTACCTAAATTTTTTATCCCAGTTTTTCTCAAATAAACTAAACATACGAGAAAGGCTAATAAAATAAAATAAGTCATATACATATATTTAATATTTAGTATGAAGTTCAGATAAATAAAATGTTTCATGTAAGACACGGGCTCGGTACGAGTAGTAAAAAGAGCATTGTCAATCTCTAACCCACGACGTTATAATATGTATTTAACCTTCCAAATCTCCCATGTGGGGAGGGGGAATGACGAAGACAATCCTTTCCTGCCCACTAGGCAGTAGCTTCTCTTTAATTTTTGCCTTATTTCTGCACTGAAGTTTTTTATTGCTATCGTTTAGTTTTGCCATAGAATATGAAAAATGGTATATGAACCATTACGCTAATGGTTAGATTCACTGTTTCTTTTTTTTAAATAAAGAGTATTTGTCTTTATTTAATTAAAATAAAAGAGTGATTAACAAATTACAATAATTAAGCGTTTGTTTGATAAATAAAAAATTATCTATTTGAATATAATATTTATTTAAAATAAATTAATCACTGCTTAATTTAAAGTTAAAATATTTTAAGTAGTAATAAATAGGATAGATAATTAAAGAAAATTCACTTATTTTTTACATATTATTATCTATTTATTTGTTATTTATTATTTCACTAATCATTTAAATTAATAATTGACTGTTTTAAATAGTAAATAAATAAATTTAAAGTAAATTCAAATAAATTTTTTTCAGATTTGTTTTTTGGAAAAAAAATATTGGAGTCGGGTCGGGTGGAAGTAGAATGAATCACATCTGGCAGCAGCACATAGCCCAATTATTTCTTCATGGGCACTGCAGTGGTGGCCTTATCGTGGATTTCAGGGCAAGGTGAGCGCAGTTTTAACCCTTGGCCCAGTTTTCTGCATAGCTCCGATCGAACATGGTTGGCTTCCTTGTTACCTTATCCGAACTGACCAAATTCTAATGCAGACGCGCCAAGGTGATTTAACGGCCTTTGGTGGATAAGCCGCGGATCTTCTCCAACACCAGAATCTCTCTTTTCCCCTCCCTCTGGATTACAAGATGTCTTCCATGTCGTTCCATTCTGGTGTAAGAGGCACTTTCTCATGCCCCTCCTTCACTTCCCAAAAATCTGTATTCGTGGGACCAATTAAAACCTCAATTGCCCCAAAGCACAACGCCTCCATTACCAACCTCAGAAGGGAGACGTTAGACGAATTAGAATGCCAATTGCTCTAGCTGCCGCCGAAGCTGTCGAAGCAGAAACATCCACAGAAGAAGTCAAAGATTCTGTTCCTACCCAAGAAACCCAGGTTCATTTCTTTTCAATACATGCTCATGTGCGTATGTATAATTATATATGTATGTTCATACGCAGAAAATGTGTTTTGTTTATATGCCAATTTGAACCAGTTCTTCGTGTAGGGGCACGAAATACCCTGACTTTGCTCTTTTGCAAATTTTGCTCTCTCTCTCTCTCTCTCTCTCTCTCTCTCCTCTCTCTCTCTCTATATATATATACCGGCATGAGCTTTTTCTAGTTTTCAATTAGACTTCACGTTAGTTTTGTTAGGACAATGTATAAGATTTCCCGAAACGAATTTCTCTGCGACCATATTAAAATATTGGTTGGTCAATAAAAACTCCTTAAAAAGCACACAAACATGTATTAATTTAAAAAATAATGGTCACTCCATCTAAAATCTTAACGGAAGTGCTTATTGTAAATCTGGAATTTGAAACTAGGTGGATCTGAAAGTAATTATGATAAGCCAGTCAAGGCCAACTAAAAATGAACTGATTACTTCCTTTTTTTTTCTACTATACGTGCTTATTAAGTGCTTGCTATTTCTTTTTGTTTTTTCTTTCTTTTGTCAAGCTACTATATCTGCAAATGATTGGATTACACAAGGGGGTAAACAACTAGTAAATGGTACACCCTCTTAAAAGAGGAGCCAAATAATGTAGATTTTTTAAAGAAAACCCCTCGATGGGGCAAGAAAATTCTCCCACGTCATATTAGGAGAAGCCAAATCTCAAACCTTCCTTGTAGAAGATGGAGTGATGAACAAGACTAAGTTCAAGTAGTAGGGTGCTTTGAGTAGGTTCTTTAAGCAAAACTGAAAGGACTCCTAAATGCTTTATTTCAGGACGTGGGCCGACTACATTAAAGCTAACAAGTTATTGAACTGTAAACTTTGCAGAAACCAGTGGTAGGAGCGAAGCAAATAGTAAAACCAAGGCTGATGTTGAAGTTCATATGGATGGAGAAGAACATAGGTTTGGCCCTTGATCAAGTAATCCCAGGCCATGGCACCGTTCCCTTAAGCCCATACTTCTTTTGGCCAAGGAAAGATGCATGGGAAGAGCTGAAAGCCACCCTAGAGAGCAAGCCATGGATTTCTCAGAAGAAGATGATCATCCTCCTTAATCAAGCCACAGATATCATCAATCTCTGGCAACAAAGTGGTGGCAGCTTGTCGTGAACTCCCATACACAATGAACTAGTACCACACATGCATGCTTCTGATTTAAATTTTGTGTATCAATGCTTCTGGATGTTGCAGAACTAAAGAGTTTCTAGGATATGAATTGCTGAATTATAGTTGCCTGGTTCTCCCTTTCAGCCCTTTGTGATTGCCTAATTGTTTGGGTTAATACTCAAAAATTTCTGTGATTTAGAAAACAGAAAACACTGAAAAGATGAAAATTCTATTGTATTTATATTGTTTTCATTTTTTAGTGAAAATAGTTCACGATGATTCTGGAAACAGTGTCTGTTTTTGTTAAGAGAGGCCCATTTCCTGAAAATTCTCCAAGAAAGAGTTTTAGGAAAAATGCTAAATGAATTTATTTTATTTTTTTCAAAAACAAATAACAGTTTTCAAAAACAAATCCAAACAATGCTTATGGGAGTTCCAAAGTTTCTAGTTATATAAATGTGGAGATGCAGGCTATGGCTGCCAATGTCTTTGTGGTTGATGTATAACAGAGTTGCTTCTTTTCCTTTCTGTTCATTTTACCATCTGGTTTACCCAAGTAAAGGGGCAGAGGCTGAGGAAGGAACTATCGTTCTCATCTCAGTCCCGAGGGGAAAAAGAATGATAAGAAAATGGCAAACTGGATTCCTCCATTCTAATGAATTACATATGCACGCCTCAGGAGACCTATTTTGCACCCTTATAGAGTTCTTTCTTAACTCCTCTTCTCTCCCTTCTTCCATTTATTCCTCTTCTGGTTACAATTGAAAAACTAATCTAACCAAGATATAACAAAATTTCTAACTGAAAGAAAGCAACTCAACTCCTAATAGCTCTTTTCATACACCCTAGCCCTTTTTCTTCCAACATATAAATGTTGTAATAGAGGTTTCCTAACAATACTTCCTCCTCAAGGTGAAAATTAGGAAAGTACTACTGTATAGTTAACATAAATTCCCTTAAGGAAGATTTTTACACTGAATAAAAACCTCTGCAAAACCATTATAACAAATCCTGGTATCTACCTCTTTAGTTAGCTGAACTTGTAGCTCTAAATCCTTAGATGACATAGGAGGCAATGGCTAAGAAATACCTTGGGGAGAAATTGCTCTTTTCAAAAGAGAAACATGAAATATGTGATGTATTATACTATCAAGCACTTGCAATTTATTTGCAATTTTTCCAATCCAGTTTAAAATCTAAAAGGGGCATAAATCTTGGATAAGCTTCTCATTAACTTTCTTAGCCAATGATTTGAGCTTATAAGGTTTTCCTAGTCACCAATCTCATATTGCACCTCTCTTCGATATTCTCTCCTGAGCTTTCACCAAGTTTATTTTCAATTCAATTAACATTTCATTTCTATCAACAACCATTTTATTCACTTCTTCTACTAATGAGGGTATAGTAGTCTATTTAAGTAAGATTAGAAGATCTTGGCCATATAAAGCTTTGAAATGAGTACTTTTAAGTGAAGTATTATAATTGGTATTGTACCAAAATTCTACCATCTTAACCATATAGGCCATTATTTAGGTTTTCTTCCGGTAAAACATATTAAGTATGTAACATCCCAAAACCCATTTCTTTAAAATTTTCATAATCTCTTTTGCTTGAGTTTTAAATTTATTTAGAGGGAATTTTAAGGGGTTTAGGAATGAGGAAAGCATATTAGAAATTTTGGGAGAAAGTGTGTTTTTGTTTAAAAAAAAAAAAATTACTGTAACACGGTTACTGTAGCAACACATCCAAGCGCACTATAGCGCTGCACACTGGAATTTGGCCACTATAGCACCCAAGCGCTCTATAGCACAGTAGCCACCGGAATTGGTTCGCTGCAGCATGCTAGACTGTACTGTAGCACGTTTGGTCACAAATTTTAACAATTTTTTCAAAATTTAAAATTTTTAACCTTTCCAAGGACCCTTAAACCCTCTTGAACTCTTAAAAACTATAAAACAAAGATTTGAGAGATATCCTATAGTACCCAAAATTCATCCAAAAATTCATTAGGACAAAAAATGAAGATAAATTACTGAGGGGCAAGATAGTCATTTGAGATGAATAACCTATTTATTTAAACATTTGGAGAGCCTTCTAAAGGCTCATTTTTGCAAGTTTTAGAGAGAGAAACAGAAGGGAAGAGGAAAACAAAGAAAATGGAGAAAAGGTATGAAAATGGCTAGATTTCAAACCCCTTTAGATTTTTTTCAATATTTTCACATGTTTAGCTTCTCATCTCCATTCTATAGCTTTTAATAGGTTTAAAATCTTCTTTTGGTGTGGATTCGCGTGTTGTAGAGAGGGAGACGGATGAACCTCACATATGGGAAGAAATTGCATGATTTATGTTAGCTTGTTTAAAATACTATAGATCTTACTTCTACTCCTGATTTCCTAACTTTTAATCGATTTAGATTTTTCATTTGATAGTGTTTATATGTTGTAGAGAGAGAAAGGTGGGTTTAACCTTACCCATAAGAATTATTACACGATTTTGATGATTTAAGCTAAAATAACTTTAGATTATGTTATGTTTAGGTAGACCTATGCTTATAATAGATTTTTAGTGGATCTTAATCTTGTATTTATGGTTGAAAAAGTAGAGAGAGATTAAGGGCATGTTTGGTTTGAACCCAAAGGTTGAGAAAGATTAAGGGTATGTTTGGTTTGAACCTAAAAGTTGAGAGAGAGAATAAGGGCTTGTATGCATGTAATCTAGGGCATATGCATGCATTAACACTTTGTATTTAGGGTGTTATTTTTACACAAATATGTATCCTATATACGAGGAAGAAAACTGAGTAAGCCAGACCATGAACCCATAGCTTTAAGACTATGTCCCTAGGCTTCTTACACCAGGTGAATGGCATTTATCTAATTCTCGTTATTTTTTTCCAAATATGTTTTATAAACAATTGTTGCTTATATTCAAAACTACATGTATGTTGATACTCAAAATAGGAAACAATCTAGTTATGTTCTAAGTTCCAATGTATATACATAAATTTCATGATATTTTATGAGTTTACTAGATTTTGGTATTTTGGCACTTAGACTATGATGTCGGGCAGCCACGTGGGGTAGGTGGCAGTTCTACTTGCATGACATGATATTTATATGACTATTTCCCCTAGAGAAGGGAACCAGAGACCGCAGACTGTGTTAGTTGGGCCGAGGGATTTGCGGGAACTCTTGGAGCAGACTACACAGTGTAGTAGCACCCGACATGTTTGTATTTTGTTTAGTGAAGGCCCAGATTTTATATTATGTTTTCACTGCCCTCAAACGCACCATTTTTGGTTGTGCACATCCGACCAGACCACACATATGAATATGCACTATGATGATGTTCTATACTCTTTATAACTTTTAGTGATTCTCTATGATACTTACATGATTTATGTTTATGCTCTTTCTCATATACAGAGACTTGGCATCATGATAAAAACATAATTTCTATATTTCTGGTTATTGTTATACATCTTACTATGGAACTCTATTAGATTGAAATTTTATGAATGCAATAACAACATAACCTGACTGTTTTCACTAGGATTAGTTTTATGTCATTTACTGAGACATTTGTCTCACCCCATTAATTTTTCCCCCTGCAGATGCTGAGACAGTTAGTTAGGACCATAGTGTCCGGATTGCATATATTTTTATTCACTGTTTAGCACTAGGTTGGGCCCAACCTAGTGATAAAGTTTAGAGCCTGACCTTGGTGTCCGGATTACAATTTTTTTTTTTTACACAAAAACACACTTTCTCCCAAAACAAATTTTATACCAAGTTATTACCCCGCTGTCACGCCTCTTAAGGTTAGAGAGAATGTTAAATTTTGATTAAGAATTAGTGAAGTATAGACATAAGCTTTGTGTAGGTAGTTGCATTCTAACACGAATATGTGTAAACCTGGTACGACCATTATTGAGTTAGAACGAGTTTAGGTGGATGGACCAGAGACTAGAGAATTGGCTAAGCTCTTAGGTAAGCATTTAGTGTCAAATCTACTATACATGAAGAGATTAGAAAATTATATTTTGCATAACAAATTGCATAGTAGCCAAGAACTAATCTAATTGTCTATTCTTTAGTTCCTAAGATTAACAAGTATATTAGTTAAACTATGAGAAAATAAAGTATAAGATAAGAGAAAGTTATACGATTTAATAGTATTATTGATCTGTTATAAATTGGAAGATGATTTAAAAAGAGATGAATAAAATTTGATTTTAATGTAAGAAAATACTATAAAGACCTTAGAAAATGGAATTTGGCCTAAGGGCTTAGGGGAGAATTTATAGTTATTTTTGTGTATGTACCCGCTAAGGTTCGGCTTGAGGTATTAAAGATTAAAGATTCCGAATCCAATTAATATTTGAAGACTTATGTTAGTTACAAGTTAAGAGAATTGTAATTAAGGAATTATAGTGTAAATAAATGACTTAGAGATGAAATCTTAGCATGGTTAGCACATGTAAGTTTTGGTTACAAATTTAGTATCTTTAGGAAAATTAGAAAGACTTAAGAAATATTGGTAGATGGACAAAGATTAATGTGTACAGACTTGTCATAGTAGTGTGATATTCTAAGTGTGACTTAAGAACATGTATTTTGTGTGATAATTGGATAGATACGAGTTTGGAGGATTTTAAGAGAAATTAGTATTTTGGAGGCATGACTACTAGTGGTTCCAAATTTATTTTGAAAGATTCTTTAGATAATCCACAAAAAAAAAAAGAAAAAAAATTATGATTTAAACTACTTAAGGTGAATTTCAAGTAAATAATTTAAAGTTTATTAGAAATCAAATGGATTGGTGGTTCACTTATTTGAGTTGAGACTCTTCGAGAAAACATGTAAATTAAAAATTTTGCGAGATAGTGGTAATAAGTTATTGGTGAAGTTGATCAATAAGTTATTTAGAAGCAAGTATTAACGGATAATTTATAGAGACATGTTTTAAGAAAAGTTGGTAGGTGGAGCAAATGTGATTATTA